AAAATATATATTGTATCAGAAAGTGGTGGTATTCATAGTATTCATTGTTAACCGAACCGCTAACCCAGAATGTTCAAAACAAAAACCATGCCAAACGAAAAAATCCACGGAGGTTGTTTTTCACGTTTCAGTTACTGAGAAATGAAAAGCTCACGACAGGAGGTCACAGCTTCACTGGAAATAGTATAATAGTTATTATTATTATATATTATTAAAAAAATATTATATTATGCCGCTCGAACCTAAACGGCTTGTTGAAAACACCTCTACGATAGGAATAAGTCATGATATTGAGAGTTTGTTGAACCATGCAGCATTAGTGAGAGAATGCAATAAACATGTTAAAAGGGTTTTAAAATATGAAATTTTTGAGCGAGAACAAGGAAAAGTAGTTCAGGACAATATTCGTCAATTAGTAACAATTATATAAATCCTGACATTAGTCGCTAGGGATGTTCAACTTTATTACGAAAACTGCATCATTCTCCTGTGAGAAACTATGTCCAGAAAATGAAACAAGTGCAAATTATTAACTAGTATAACGAGAATGGATAGAAAAATTGAAGTTCATGAACGAGGTGATCTTAAAAGAACAATGCGATGATTGTATATATTGTTCTAAGTGAACCTTGTATGATTGGCGCTGCAATTGCAACAAGTTCAACAGCGTTACCGGATTAGAGACAAAAAAGTGTGTCCATGTTGGAACAAGCCTTTCTTGAGAGCCCACAATCAACCTCGCTAATTAATCTTACGCAAGACAAATTTGAGTTGAAGAAGAATTGTCAATAGGCAGTATGGTAACATCATGAACGAGACTAGATGTTTCTCATAGCAGCCTTCCACTTATAGAGAAATATCAAAAAGGTTGCTATACTTCTTCTTCTTTTAAATCTATAACCGAATTAATTTATACTGTAAAATTAGCTAGAATTTAACTTGATAATGGAATTATAATCGAATTTATTTATACTGTCGAATTAGCTAGAATTTAGCTAGATAATGGAACTAAGTGTATCAGAAGAGTTGCATGCTGCAACGCACAACTGAAATATCCGACTAGCCAGTGGAGGCCATCGAGAAAGAAATCATTTTCAAGGGCTTCTTTATTAATCAAAGCAGAGCATCTTCCTTTCAATTTGAAAAAGACGAAGAATAAATCATCATGTTGATATTTTCTGTGATGGTAGAAGGTTGATGAAGGTTGATTTGCTCGACACTAATATCTTACTAATATCTTACTAATACTAATATTCTTATTAGTGTATATATATAATATTAGCTCGACACTAATATACAATACACTAATATCTTGTAGTTAGACATGATAATTCCAGAAAGCTCATTGGTTGCTCATCCTTTTCCAATAATGTCCTGTATATAAAATTTTCGTAATTGACCATTGTGGCTTTTCCGGTAGTTGTACCATGTAATTTTTACCCCCAGTAAGTTCTTGAACCAGTCGCAATTTCAGCTCCGAATACCAAAGTATAACTTAGATTTTTAAATAAATTCATCGCATTGTAGTTTGGAGACACTCATTACATTTTTTGCTTTTTGTTTCTCATCAAGGCCTGATATTTTAAGCAATATGATATATTATTTTATTTCTTCATCCAGTTTCACTGAAGGGGTTGGTTGATACAATTTTTAAAATTGATGAATATTGTCTGACTAATATTGTCGTTTTTGTATTTAGCTAATAATGTATTTAACTGCCTTTCCATGTTCTCGCTGTGGAATATTTATGGAATATTATTCTCGCCCCAGTGGAATATTTGTAATATTCTCTCACAAATGTTGCAAGGTTCACCAAACACCTAACTCTAAACATCATTACCTGTTATCCTCTAAGATGTGCTAAAAAGCAGCTGTATAAGGTTTAGGTGGCATTATTTAACAAGAGCATCATCTCTACCTAACAACACATTTATCAATAAGCGTTGAATTAAATAAAGATGTTATACATGCACTAAATAATATATAAATTTTGTAATAGAGTGCAACATATAACATACAGCCACCTACAGACACACAAGCACCCGTAACATGCTCAGGTCCAGGAGGGATCAAAGTCCAGGTGGGAGAAGGGGAGTGCGACCATGCCACACAATAGTATGCGTATAGTATGCGTATTTTTTAAATGATTCATTTATATTCATTTAGCAATAAGACCTCAATCTCTAAAATTGAACGCTAAAGACAATATCCGCTTAATATCCCTTATGTGCAGAATTTATTTAAAGGCTTTACGATAACTCCAGAAATTGTCTGTTTAAAAAATCCTTTGAAGGAGATTAATTTGCTGGTGTCATGACGTACACAATCCTATATGCAGCGATGTCAAAATCCACCAGCAGATATAAAAACATATAGTAATTATAACTTTATAAATTTCATTCAATTTTTCAAATATACGCTACAGAAAACTAGAAAGCACAAAGTCAATTAAAGCCACAATCAATACATTGTTAGATGTATTAAAGCTTATCATGGATTCCTAATTTTATTCAAGATTTTACTCAGCAATATTTAAGCCATTAAAGTATTCATCGATAGCCATTATAGAGCCCTTATGATAATTGGATTGAAGAAACTCTTTTTACTGAAATTAATTCTCGAGAGATCTTCTTGATAGATTACTGCGAATACCGCGTCAGGAAATTATTTATTGCCGGGAAACTGCATAAGAAATATTTTAAATATCTATTGACTCTAAATATATAGGAAGCATACTCCAGTGGCAATTAGTAATAGAAACTCGCAATTGAAATTAAATGCACAATTGTGGAAGAAGGTCTTTGTTGAAAACTAAATATAGCTTACAAGCTTGAATAAGGCATGTTAATGTTATTTGATGTTCTATGATTCGTTATAATTCAGAAAATGGCTTGAAATTTTTATTTTTACAAAAACATTTGATAAAATACAGACAAATCTGTTGTAAGGTAAGTCACAAATATTTCGCCACATGTTAAAGTTTTTATGTAAATTTTGAATTTAAGGCAAGGAATCGCATATTTCGTTTTATGGAATCACATAGTTTCTAAAATGGAATATTTTAGAAACTTTCAAGGAACACAGATGAATTTCGATTGCGCTAAAATTCATTTGCCTTTCATTTTGCTTATTTTGGAAAAATATTTAGAGAAATATTTTCTGTCTAGCTTCTGACACAACTAAAATTTTACAAGCAAACTTTGAAACCGGAAACAGTCTTTGTAACTTTGAAACTCGCCAAAAGCAACTAAAGTTTTCGTATGCGATTCGATGAAATTGGAAATACATAAACGACGATATCTTTCCGAGGGCAGCAGAAGCAGGAGCAACCATCAGAATTGGTTTCAATTCAAAGCTCGGACACAAAAAGGAATGAGAGTTCACGAAAGGAGCTTTCTGAGGGCAAAACTCTTTATCAGACTGGCGTGGTAAACACGCCATGACAATGGGAGCCATTGAGCATTGCGGACCATGCGGACGGTTCCATTGAAGACCTTTACGGTGCGGTAAGGAGTGTCGAGCATCTAAGTTATTGTTAGGGGTCCCCCAGTGCAGAAATAACATCGGCGATATACGGGCAACGAGCCTATAGTCGGAATAACATCAGGGATATGGGAAGGGGACCGTACCGTGCAAATGGAAGCGCTATGAAATTGCCGGGACCGGAATGCGCTACCTAAACACGTGCTTTATTGTAGTGAGGAAGGCCGCAATATGTGTCACGAGGACCTTTTTAGATACGTGAGAAGAGGTCACATGCTTTTATAATACACAATAAAATGATTCATTTGAATCAAAGCCCGTAAATTCTCTAGAAGTATATAAACTACCAATATTAATATAATGAAGTATGTGTTCGAGCTCAAATTCGACAGTCTTGTCCTTATTTCTTTTAAATGAGCCTGGAATGCGACTTAATGCTGACATTTCCATGATATAATAGATATTCATTCAATTTCTTATTCACCTTCAAGTTATAAAAAAATTTATCAAGGAGATTTTTAGGTTTCCCTAGTCTTATCATAATAATAATTACATGAAACCAGAAGAAATAATATGCGTTTAAAAATTACTTTTTAAAGACAACACTTCTAAAGAATGCAGTGTCTCCGATGTTACACATCTACAATGAATTTCTAATTTTATTTCCATATATTAAAAAAATATTAACATTTTTTCAATATATGAAAAAATTTAAATTTTCAAAATTATTTATTGTGGCAATTAATACATGCAATGTCTCAGACTTTACGCAAGTGTGCAAAATTTCAGATCGATTGGACATGTATAAGTGTGTTAAATATCGATGATAAGATTTGTGTTAGACAAAATTATTTTTTCAAATTTTTTAATATTAAGAAAATGTATTTTTTTATTTTTTTATTCTTTTTTTTTTTTTTGTCAATTGATTCATTCATTGTCTACAACTTTATGTAAGTGTGCACAATTTCAGATCAATATGAAAGGTAAAAGTATTTTAATTTTGATTATAAGATTTGTAGCAGACAGACAAACAAACAGACAAGAAGTAAAGTTAAAGAGAAGTGTTGTAAAAATAAAATGGTTACACTTATTTATACACTTCAAAAATTTTATGCCTAGTTTTATTTAGTTGACAAGATCAACAGTATCGTACAGCAAAAAGTGATCGCCCAAGTCTGCCGTATTCGCTACGTAAACTAATAAGATTTCCACCTTTTTTCAAGTTGCGTTAGACCTTTGCCAAAATTTCCGTGTTTTTTTTACCAATTTTTAACTTCAAACTCTCATGCATGTGGGTCAATCGATTTTAACCAATTTCATGAGACTCGAATATGATAATTTTCCGGCTGATTCACTTGACAAAATTGAACCTGCAAAACCTACGCATTTCCCATATTGTAGGGACCGTTGCGTTCGTCAAAGCTAACTGGTCAAACCCTAAATGGTCCTTGATAACCTTATAAGCCGGGACACACGTCATACTAAGGCCCGGCTCTATCAGTCGATCGAAGCTTAACATGGTTACGCTACCTCGAGACGATGACAAGGACCGATTGTTCTCTATTATCTTGCGATAACCGCAGCTGGAAACTGTTTTAGTCTTCAGACACTTTGATGCCTAAAATATGCTATGCAAATTATGAATATTCCTCGTGTTGTAAACTCGAATAAACATATTTGGTACACATGAGTTTTATTTAAATATGGTAACTTGTAAGCGCTAAACCAGCCTGAAGGGGTAACGTGTTCCGACGCATGATCCACTATTCCGACAAAAATCATGTATCGTTTTCCCGTAGTTTGTTTGCGAAGGTAAAATAAGCTCTTTTCACTATCTTGTCTCAGTTTCTCTATCATTTCATCATGAAATGGTCTCATGTCAGAGTTTTAATTGTTGCAGAACCAAAATTTTACAACAACTCCTGTAAATGTTTTGCAGCTACGATGCACGCAGTGGAGCAGCAGTGCACTGGAAAAATGCAAGTCTGTACGACAACCGAGTGGTGTTTTTACCTGCGCGTTCCGTGCTTGTGCTCTCCAAGATTAAAGCGTCGGATGAAGTTACCTACACGTGTCGACTGGACTTTAAAATCAGCCCAACACTCACCTATAAAGTCAACCTCACCGTCATTGGTGAGTATTGTGATTTGTTAAATCAAAATTTTAGAACTTCGTCAGATTCGTTACAGGGTAAACTGAAATTTTGTAAAGTAGTTTGTAGGAATTTATAAAGTTTATGGAACATATTTGCTTGCTAGGCAAAGCTTTTGCTATTATGTAATCAATAGTAGGCTAATATAGAGATCTTCTAACGCTATATTTCGAATACGATTAAAGATTCTTTCAATTCAAGTAAAAAAATACAGAGTAGTAATCAAGTATCAATACAGAGTAAAAAAATTTATTGAGGTTCTGTTTCTATTTCCACATATTTTAAAATATAAAAAGCTTAAATTCTCTTGATAAATTAATATGCTTGGAAAAATTAACTAAACTAAATCTTATAATCATTTTCTAACTAAATCTTATAATCATTGTCAATAAAAATCTTCACAATAAATACTTCTTATTTCATAAGTTTTCTAGATTCTTGCATCGACCAGTTTTAATTTTTGTAAGTTGTCGAATGTCAAAATTTCGCATTAATGATTTTTCAAACCCATTATTCCATCTTTTCAAACTTGGAAGATATTTAAGGAGCTGAAAAAAATATTTAGGACAGAATGTGACAAAATTTTAAATTTAATAATTAATTTACTACTGTCTCTATCCAGTCTTACTCTATAAACCGGGCAAATTTCTAGTTTATTTTACAATGTTTCTTTTCGTTTATATAATGCCATTCACTAAAAGTTTATTGGTCGTTTACCAAATTATATATTTGTTAGAGTTTTTTATTTTTAAACAACATATCTCCCATTTCTTTAGTTTAGAACTCTTCACTTCTTTGAAAATGCAATGTAATTTGCTTTAGGTTATGTTCAAATGACACGAAACTTCCCGAAAACACTGATTGCTACGAATTTGCAATATGAACGAGACTGAATATCACGTCAAGAAAAAGACAATCACGAGATTCTTTGCAACATTTCCTGCACGAAATTGTAAGGAATTGGGATCCAATTAGCGCGAGTTTCCCAACGACGAAAACATAAGCAGATTACATTTCCAAAATTGCGCAATACAAAAATATTGTTAAAAAATTCTCGGAAATTTTGAAGTCTAAATATGAAGCGTGAGTTTCAAAATATTGAAGAGCAAGATTGAGCGAGATTCCTACTCAAATATGTAGGCGCAATCAGGCTTGATGGATGAGCAGCGTATCATGTCAATTGTAACTACCTAACGGCCTCCATTCTTTGTGCTGGTGACAGCAACACGAACCATCAAGTTCATCACTGCAATCATGCTGATTGAGGATCAATCTATACTTCGTTTCATCATAGTTTGTTTTATTCTCGTCTTTTGAAGCCTTCCTGTTTAACCTCTTTTCTTGGTTATTTTGTTCTATTTCGCCTACCGCTGTCCGCTCATTGTCTTAATCTTCCTGTGTTCTAAGAGTATCAATAAATTTATATAATATCTTTAGAAAAACTGAGAAAATAATTATTACATCTATATTGAATCATATTTTCGTATCAAACATATTTCCTAATGAATTGAATATTTTCTTAACGCACGATTCACAAATCATATAGTTAAAAAGAAGTTAAAGGTAAAGTCATGTAAGTTAAAAAGAAGTAAAAAACCTATGAAAATTATTCAGTCGCGTGAAAAGCACACCAATTAAGACGATAAATGAAGAATGGCAAATTACTGCGCAGAGGGAGGAAAAAATAATGGCATCTGCTTAGAAATTCATAACTCAGTCGCCAGTACTGCAAGCATGACTGGACTGACGCAATGTAGTAACAGAATCATCAATATTCTAATGCAGTTAAAATGGTAATATCAGTTATAGAAAATACTTCAAGAGGAAATTAATTAATTAAAGAGGAACGTTATTCTGGGCAGGAAAATGAATTATTCTTCATGAACCCAGTTATTGAACTTCACAACGGGAAAAAATAATGCGCGTGGAACCTTAAACAACACGCATGCATCAGTGAAATAATTGGTTTTCTTCTCAGTACCGCATACAAAATTTTTTGATGGATAATGAAGTCGAGAATGAAAATTATAATTCATGCCTTTTAATTCTTTAAATGATTTAATACAAACTCAATCGAACATTAGAGCTTAAATTTTAAAATTAAAAAAAAATTCAAAGACAAACTTATATAATTTAAACCAGAACTGCAATTAATGAGAACTGTACATATTGTATATAAATATTTTTAATCTGCATTAATCCATTTTACGGAAAGCGTGAGCTGTGCTTGTACGAGCAATTGAATTAGAAATCCTAATTTATCAAAATTTAAAATCATTTAAGTCGGAAATTTAAAATTTTTATTAAATTTAGAGAAGAGGTAGAATTGAGGTTCGTTAAAAGGCGGAGAAGGAGGTTGATCGAGAGCGGAAAACGTTGTTCTTCGCCCGGTGGAGTACATCGAGCGATAGAATCTCTCAAGAAAATTCTCGTCTGATTACAATTGCGTAATATATGGCAGAAATGCCATGTCTGCGTGTATCCACAACACTCCCTTGCAAAAAAAGTTGTAACAAAGATAATCCGGCTTATTTCAATTTCAGAAAATGTTTATTTAAATGGACCTACATCAACAAACAAAAAATACTGAATGAATATGGACAATTTTAATTACATTATTAAAAATAGCAAATTAAGTACGTAAATCATTTGTGAAAAGAATGTAGCGAATGAATTGAACACAATGGCAGTACCTCCGTAACCAATGTCTCGCTATCCACGATAGCAATACTTCAGTACCGTACTAAATGCCACCTCAACACCTCAGCATCTTGTTGACTATAAGCAGGCAAGTCCTGGAAAAAATATAACTCAGTACTCACTGCAGTGAGTGACAGAGAGCGCATTTTCTCGTCGACAAAAACGTGAAGTCACGGACGGACAGACAGGCAGACAGACGGACGGACATGACGAGCACAATAGGGCATTTTTAGCTCATTTTCTCATTTATGAAAAAAATGCACTATCGCATTTTTTCCGTCTGGCCGTCCGTCTGTCCGTCCGTCTGTCCGTCTGTCTGTTCGTCTGTCTGTCCGTCCGTGACTTCACGTTTTCGTCGACGAGAAAATGCGCTCTCTGTCACTCACTGCAGTGAGTACTGGGTTATTTTTTTTCCATAGAGGAGAAAATGCTCTAAAAATTATCCACAAAAGGTGTAATCTAAGAATATTAATGTTTCCAGTGCCACCGCGTGAGCTCGTCATCCTGTCGACAGCGAGCACGACAATCACAAATAACAGCGTGGGACCGCTCGTAGAAGGCTCGTCTTTGACTCTAATTTGCCAGAGCAAAGGCGGGACGCCCGACCCCAGAGTGCTGTGGTTTGACCAAAACGACCAGCTTGCTGAGGGCGTCTCACGCAACCTCAGGCGACAAACTGTTTCTACGCAGATGATCGCTTACAACGTCTCTCAAGCCCTTAGTTTGTCACCTAGAGGATCTTATGAGGCGATTAGCAGTAAGTTTTTGGTTGTCTGTTCAAAAAAATGTTTGATGGTAGGTTGAAAAGACGTTCTCCTTATTCTGTCATGAAGAAAAAAATTAATTCATCCTATGCATGCAGCTAGAGCTTGCTCGACGGTAGTAATTTATAGATTGATGGTTTTTAGTGGAACGAAATTGGTACTTAAAATATTTCGCTGGTACTCCTCTGCTCAAGCAGTAAACTATCTCTAAAAACTCATTTTCATATGAACTATAAGAGAAAATTGTAATAGTAGACAAAATTTTCCCAACATTTTTATGAGGAACTGCGATCCGTGACTGAAATACCAATTTTCTTGCTTTTACCTTTGCAAGAGGACTCTGTTGTACGCAACACGTTGGTACTCGAGCCCTTACAACGTTCAGATCACAACCGTACCTTGACGTGCGTGTCAACCAACACAAACCTCACCAACCCTATGGAGACGTCGGTTGTCGTCCATCTAAACGGTTAGAATAAAGTGTTGTTTTTGTCCATTTTAGAATGACAATTTTTCGTTTGAAGCGAGGTCTTGCATTTTTTATTTTTCATGTGAATAATAAAATAACATTTGCTCAGTGTGTTATTACCTCGCAAATTTTTGAGAAAGTGTCATACATATTTTGTGCTAGACGATACATGAAGCCGTCTTCAATTTATAAATGATACTGTATGAAAAATAATTCAACTAACTACATTTCCGCCATGAAAACTCTACTGTGCTTATAAAAAAAGTAAATAATGTATTTCACCTATAAACCTAATCAGTAAACTTGTATTCTATTATCGTGACTAAAAATTGTGCCCCCAGTTCCTCCGACCAGCGTAGAGATCGAGGGCCCGAAGGAGCCGCTAGTAGCCGGTCGGGTTTTCCTCTTCAGATGTCAGGCGCGCGACGCTCGGCCGCCGGCGACGCTCGACTGGTACCTCCGGGACCAAAAATTATCAAACTACAGCAAGAATTTGGTGAGTTAGACTTTCCAAATACCGGCAGCTGTCAATTTAAATATTTTGAAAATGTGATAAAAAAATTCCATCAATAATTTTATTTTGCACTATTTTCAAGATAAACGTAAACTTCAATTAATGCCAGCTTGACAGTGAGCAATTCACTCTACTCTAGAGGATGGAGTGAATCACATTGGATGTTTGCATTATATTAAGAAAACAACTCCATCATAAACGTGTAAGTAAATTTTTAAAGAATGTTTGAGTAAAGGTTCGGAGGCTTGAGATAATCATCAATCTTACTCTACATATTGAATGTTACAAAATGTAAATTTTAAAGCTAGAAACAGGAGCATATTTTTATAAATTAGTTAAACAAAATTTATGAATTGTAAGATATGCATTTTTTGTTTCTGACGAGAAATTACTGCATGAATTTAGTTTTTAGCGCTGCCACAGATTTATCTGCGATAATATTAGGAGCCCTACCTCATAAATTTTCATTCTATTACCTATGAAGGTATTTCATGACGCACTGAGAGAAATACGACTTTTAGGAAACATTCACAGAACTTCAGTAACACTTGTAGTGAAGTGTTTGCTAGGTGCTGAAAGTTACATACTATATCACTAATTAAAAGGGCATTTGACGTAGCACGCTGTAACTACATGGTCGTAAATCGATATAGCGAAAAAGTTTCGGAGTCTATTGAATAGCAAACGCACAAAGAAGCCCTACTAAGAAGTTCCATAAGACTCCCAAACACCCGAAACAGTTGGCCATACTGCGCTCATCGTAAGGCAAAACTATAAAATTTCAGTTACCGCCGTGTTGGTATGGCTCCGTAAACAGTATGGTCATTCCACAGCGACTGCGGCGCTTCAAACGACATTTACGAAGGACGTTATGGCAGCACCGAGCTAGCCAGTCTAGTTTTTAGGACTCGGAATAACATTGAAAAGCCGGCGTTTTTTCTTCTTTTCCACAGAAATTTAAAGAAAACCTACCTGCATGCCTGCAGATTTCCAGGAAAAGGAAGTATAACTGTGTTTAAAAATTTTCAGGTAGGTACAAGATGCATTAACTTCGACTTCGTGATATAAATACATAATATAAATAAATAACCTGATTCACGACTTTTGAAGTGAAAGAAAAGGCTTTCAATTATTGGTATAAATCAAAACAATCTAGTCAGGATTCATTCTAGACGATTTCATATCATGCATGGTAAACTTCATTTGGTAAACGGTTTTGCTGAAACCCGACGTGATAGCAGTTTTCGAGAACGCTTCATATGCTCAAGATATCTGTGGAATGTTATCGTCTTAACGGGTTTCTCCAGTGAAATAGATTACTTTAAAGGTTTTCCTGCCGTACCTCAAATCCCATCACAATTTCATTTCTGCGCAACATCCCCAGCTATTCCTAGCAATGTAGCGATTTCACGAATATCTGTTGCAACATACGAGATCACGATGCTTAATTGACAACGAATCCCTTACTTAAAAGTATCAATGGATGGCAAGTTAGAAAGCATAATGTTTCAGGACACCTTCACTTATCGAAATATTCTACAACGTAACCTAACAGAGAATTTCTCGTGTAGAAGCGTCCCTAAACAAGTTATTTGTCAGAGGAAACATGCTCACCAGGACAGCTTTTTAAGGTAAATATCATTCAATTAAATCAAGAACCTACAAGCAAACTCACGATGTCGTTGGCGATCGACCATCCGGCGGCTGGTAAGAGGAGCGCTACCTTAACTGTTATTGCATTCCTCGGCCGTCTTAAGCAAAGCATGCCGCTCTGTATCTTCGAATGCTTCACTGCCGTGCCCGATATATCATTTGATGAACATCAGGAGAAATTCGATACATCTGCAACAAATTATTTTCGGGGATCCTTAGTTGAATTTTTTTTTTGAAATATTTTATCTTTAGTCTAAATGAATCGCAAGTTTAGTCCGAATGAATCGAAAGAACTGAAAGCAAAGGAAACGGGACGTAAATACATCATATCGTTTTCCAAACGTTTCGGAGACCAGCTCCAATATCATTTAAAAGTTGAGTTAACACACGAAACAAATTTAAATATATTTATTTATCAAATTCTGAAATTGTGAAACATGAAAAAACAAAAAATATCCTGCGATAGATAAGTTTTCACAATAAATAAAACACTAAATCAATAATATTTTAAGGAAGAACTCGAGAAAACTTTCAGGTTGTAGCTTATGTGCTTGAAAATATGTAATGAAGCCTTTCAGAACACCGGATTGATTTCGTAAATTTGTCACATTGTAATAAATAACTAGCGGAAATAAAAAAGTATAACCAAGAGGACACATTAATCTTTTATAGTAGCCCAATAATTATTATAATGTCCTTTATGAACAATTTCGAGAAATTATTTAATGCTAGCTACGGAATTTAATTTGATTTAATCTGCAATACGTGGACTAAATCACATGGACCAGTCATTGTAATTCAAAATGCCATAAATTGACAATTTGGAGGGACGGGCGATTATTCCAGATGACGTTTACCGGTCATCAAATAAACCGCGTTCACGTTCGTCAAAACCTGCATCTGAACGCAACATGTGAGACGCGCCCAAAAATTCATTTGCTTGATAAATGAATTTCATGTTATTGGCTGTGATGACACTCTTGCATATGGATGCTTCAGATTTGACTATGACTTCATAAGTAAATGGAGGGCCAAAGTTTCCGTGTCAGAGTTTTTGGTTCTGAACCGCAAGTCACTGAATCCAATCAGCTTGTCATGCATAATTTAAATCCAATCAATGGCTTTCGTGCTTTGAAGATCGGCTATCCCAAATTTCGGCCCAATTATTGAATATCGCATAGGCTTCAAGGTCTGCTTATAGAGAAGCTCGATATTTACTAGAATCTACGGGCTTTTGTACATGTAAGGGCAGCTTTAAATTTGTATCAACGCTTCAAGTTCAAAATAAAATCAGATAAGCAAATCACTCAATTTATCGAAACATTTCAGTGCCAGCGATAGTTTTTTATTTTTTTTTTAAACATGTGTCTGATGATCCCGATTAGAAACATTCAGAATCCGAAACAAATTAGTCTCTTCTAATTTGGTGAGCCATAGAGCATTAACAACGCAATCTTCCATATAATTCATAATTAGACATTTCAGGCATAACTAGAGATCAATGTCAAACTAGACTGACATAACTAGAGTTCAATGTCAACAAATTCAAAACTAGAGTTTAATGTCAAACTAGATGGGCTTCTCTATGATGATCATGGCAGCGAAAAATTGCTCCATAATTAGCCGACTCGATTCTTGTCCGTCATTAGCGATCGGTTGAGGCCGAATAGCAAGACGACCCTTACAAATAGGCATCGATTTCACGTCCCAATTACCCGAAATATCAGAATTTGATCCCACATTTTTCATCGAGGCGCGTTTTCTCCGAACTCAGACGGTATTAGCATACAAATTACACTATTGCGGTATAGCTCTCATTGTATTGATAATCCTGGTAATGGTTGATCTCAATTGTCGCTCATAGATTGCATGAGTTGCCTCGAGATATATCATTAAGTATAATGTTCATAATTGAAGGCCCAGCTGATATTCCGGTCACAACAATTGCCGGTTAGCCTGGAGCCTCATTGAATTGTTTTTACTCTACTGGTAAAACGTCCTAATTGCATTTAATGTGTCTAACATAGATGTTGAAACTACGCAGTTGCACTATGTAATTTCGCTGCAGGCTGGGAAGTAAAAAGTACAATTTAGAGAAGCGTATTGCACCCTCGCTCATGCTCAGAGAAGTTTATGGTAAGAGTAACAGCGCAGTTTGGGCTCAGAATAAAAGCATTTGAGCTATGGGAATGGTCTATAATAATAAATACGGATGAAATAGAAAACAACTTAAATTACCGTCATTTGAAAACTATATTGTCCTTTTACATTAATGAACATTTTTTTTCCTTCCGATTACAAATTGAACTATTAACGCACTAAAATATCTACTCTGAATATCATAAGGGAGCGCAGTTATTTATCATTTTTATAAGTTCACATTTATGCGCGTTATTGCTAATGCAACAGCGTGACATTTATTCTGGTATTCCTCTTGTTATGTATAGTTTTTACTATTACTTTGCTAACCTTTGTTTCCTTTCCGCGTCCATCGCTTTCACACGTCTACATTACAGAGCGAAAGTCGAACCCAATTCACGCCGTCTTAGCAGTTCATTGTAACAAAGTTGTCAGGTTTTACAAGAGCGCCGTAATCTTACAAACAAGGCACACGAGGCAACAACAAATTCCTAAACATTGGCTTAAGTTGTGATATTTTTGTGTCATCTCCGTCAGGCGCCACAAACCAGAATGGAGTCGCTGCAAGAGGGTACTCGTGAAGATGCTTCTGTCGACTCCAGTGTTTTGTGGTTCATGCCTGAGAGGAAACATCACGGACTGCCTTTAGCATGCGTGGCAAGCCAAGAAGATCGCAGGCTAAAGCCTGTCACCGCAAGTAAACGGCTTGAAGTTTACTGTGAGTATACATAACTCGGATGGAGAGGTTCTTTTGGGGTTCTCAAAACGGTGAAGGTAGTGTGAGGAGCTTTTATTATTAAACGGAAAAACTTTTTGCGCATTATATCATAAAACTCAGAGAAATATGGTTATTCTGAGTCTCGGTCTATCTAGTCATGAACGTATAAAATTTGCTACAAAAATAAACGTGATTGTGGAGTCACATAAGACAAAATTTTACTTATTTGGGGCCACGGTATGGGTGTTATCTTCTAAATTACTCTACTTAAAGTCCAATACAACTTCAAATTTAACAATGACGTAAACTGCCTATAAAAATTCTTCTCAAATTTGATGCAATTCTTCAACACATTATGTATGGGCTGCTGCCAATTGATAGAAACTTTTTTTTCATTCATTAATAAAAAAATTTGTCAGTTTTCATTTACTTCCCTTCAAACTAGACCAACTTGAGAGCGCCGTTTCAATATCCTGTTTTCCCATAAGGTCTTAATTTTATGGCTTTTGTGGGCGTTTTCGATCTCAGTTTGTTAGTAATGCATTGCGGTAAACCCAAACTAAGCCTTCATATCTCGCTCTTTATCATTCTTCCATTTTCGCTGTAATTGCCTCCCGAGAATCTAATCGAAAATAAACAAGATTTTCTGAATTTAAGATCCTCCTAGCGCGGTACTCAAACCCGGACGCTCCGTGAACCTCTCTGCGATAGAAGAGGGAGACGATCTCTACGTGGAGTGTGTGGTCGACGCCAGTCCTCCAGCTTACAAAATCGTGTGGTACCATCAGGTAAGTAGTTCATTTCGAGTGAAAAGTTTATGCTTTGATAATAGTAATTGATCAATGTTTTTTCATTCAAATTAAAAGAATGAAGAAGATGTCATCCTCTTCATCCATCTTCATCCAAAGAATTGGATGAAGATGAAATGAAATAATAGCAATGGAACTTAGCCACCAGCTCAATACTCAGAGGTCGGTGTAGCGACATGTTTTTGAGCGAGATTTTGTCGATCAACGTGGTATTATTTAAATTCAAGGACGAATTGCTAAAGATAATATATAAATAATAGCAATGAAACTTAACCACCAACTCAGAAGTCAGAGGTCGGTGTTGCTTCATTTATGGGCATAATTACTACGTTGAATATAGCTGCAATTTTAAGTTTTTAAATGAATTGTAATTATTCGCCCATGTAATTGTAATTGTAATTATTAGCCGTGTAATTGTAATGAATTAATTATTAGCCCTTGTGAAATATGTATGTGCTTTTTTAAGTAATTCATAATTTTGGATTGTGTATCTTATATTGGATTGCCAAAATCGCAATTTTTGTTACACTTGAAATTAAAATGCTGGGAACGTAGTTTGTAGTGAGCTCGAGGCGCACTGCGATGCGAGTGGCACAAACTTTCATAAAAACCAGCGACCGGAGCTGTACTCGCTGCAAAATCAGCAGCTGGAAACCCCTCAGAAAAACAGCTTGCGAGGGCTTTATTAAAAGTCAGCTGTCCGAAGCGATCCCCAGTGACGGTATTATTTTTGCATGAGGCTCGTGTCAAGCGATGCTCAAGAGAAGTGTAAAAGTGTTGTTGTCGAGTGAGAGGCGAGGCTCAAACTTAGGTTTTCGAGATAAAGTAAGCTCATATTTCCCAAGTTATTCGGAACTTTCTCTGTCAGAAGTTTTAGTATGGACAGATTATTCATTGAATAACAGACGAGATTGTCCAATACAAATTTTTTTATTCGCGAGGATCAGCTCATATTGATCTCGCCTGGACGAAATGGGAAATAAAGTTTAACAACTAAAGATATAGTGGACATTTAAATTTGTTAAAATGATCTGTTACAAATGCAAAGTCAACACATTCATTATAATCTATTTAAAAGCCATCAAGACGATTATCAATATTTGAAGGAATTAATGCAAATTACTCTCTCTCTCGACAACTTGTAATGAGAAAATAAAATTGGGCAAGATAAATAACCGACATGAATAAGAAAATCGGAGAGCAATGTGCCTGAAAATCACAGCACGCATCAATAAAAGATCGATATTGCCGTTAATTGGGCGGGAAGAAAACGATATCCTTGTAACCTGAAATGCAGACTCCTACGGTAGCATCCTTCTCTGTTTTAAGGATATGAGATTTGCTTATTTAATTAGAGTTGAAATTTATGACACCTCTAATTGCTATAAAATGGTCGAGGTTTGTCAATTGCATTTAGTTTTCCTAATAATGTCGTACAATTCTTAAGCTCTAATCCTCAGATTGGCATGTATTGTGACAGAGTCACATTATAGTAGGGTAAAATACTGAAATTAATTTATATGGAGTTAAATAGTAAATATTTATCTCTGTTGTTCAAAGTTCAATACCATGCATCAAAACTATAATAAACTGTCTATGCATTGAAGATAGAATAATTTGTATCACTTTATACTGACAAAAAGAAAGCTTATTTCAATAAATCCACCTTTCCTTCATCGGATTTCAGTTTATAGTTAATGTCTGAACAAAACAATTCTGTGGTCGAATTTAGCAAAAAGCGATCGTTTAAATTGAAGTAGCACGATTTTTGGGCCGAATAGATATTTGTTAAAAATTATAATTCTAGGTGAAACATGATTGAATAGGAATGGAAGTATTCGATATTGAGTCATTACATTTAATTGGAAGAATTATATTTCAAACTAACCAAATTTGAACCTAGGGCACGATATTTAAGGTTATTAGAAAGTACATTGTTGAAGAAATAAGCTGAAAGAAAGAACACTTCTTTATATTTCCTTTCAACAGTTTCTAATGTTCTTGTTTTACTAACGCTGAATAGATCATTTAGGATATTAGGGAAGCAATGGGAGACAATTATTTTAATAAATTGTAGACGTATCATTAACGCCATTTTATCAGTTCATAATACAGTCTTAGAAAGAAATTGCGTTCGGCAACGATTAATCGTACGTATTTAGTCCGTAATAAACAACAGATAATTAATAACAATAATTAAGAGTAAGGTAGAGTTGAAGCCTCCATTTTGGTTCATAAATTGCCGTAATAATGTCAAATGCAACGGTGAGCGCGGCGACTCAAATTGAGGCGATTATGAACAAGGCAAGCGCTTGGTAGGATCAGACACTAAAATATAGTGCCTTTGCGATTCAGATTTACCAGGTTAAAGCCAGTGATTTGAATGGTGTGGAGACTTCCATGAGCGAGAAAAGTTGAAATTTCCATGACACTTTTGGAGGTAGCTTGCACTGTGCAAATTAAATTGTCTGAAAATTTTTGAAAAAATTGTGTACCTGAGGAAGATATTTACAGATGATGTAATAATGACTGTAGAAAATATTCCTTGCAACGTCAGAGATATTTTGCTCACCTCCATGAAACTTTGCTGCTTCATGGGGAATGAGAACCCATTTTTCGTTCAAGGAATCCTTCGGACACAAAGCTTTCTTTCTGAAATACATATCCATGGCTCCATTCTCAAAAGTTGGGCAAAATCCAAATTTCTCGACAAGTTTTCGGGCATTTTTCGCAGGGTCTTACAAACCGAAGCGCCATGCAGTCTTTGCTATATGCATCGCCGTTAGATTTTCTTCGCGTAAGAGCAGCGAACAATGGGTCAAGCATTTTAAGAATGGCTCTTCTTAGACTACCTACGACATCACACAGCGTCCACGTGAAGGATCACCGAAGCATAAACAAGCAATATGCGTACGGCGCGCTCGCTTCGAAGCACAGCCCGATTGCCACGTTCGAGAAGGCCATGAAAATTGCCGTTGTCATGCTGCTGATATTGTTGCTGTTTTAATATCTTACCTGTTATTACTGTTTCTAGTGCAGTTCCTGGTTTGACAAGTGTTGCTGTTTTTTTCAATTTATATTAATGTATTGAGGAGTTTTTCGCGTCTACGCTGTTACCAACATAATTCTTTTGTGAGCAGCATAAGCTTTTCCACAAAATTTGTTGTTGTTGTTCCGGCTGTTTTCAAAAACTACCTGTCTTTGACACTGGCACCTTCAAATGAAAATATAAGACTGCACTCTTTCAATGGTTGCAGTTTTGTTTGATTTTCCAGTCAAATCTAAATCGAATCCAGCAGTTTTTCTATCGTATACAAAAATGTTCTCCGAATACGGGTGTATGAATGGAGGCGGAGCCCCCAAGCCATGAATGATAGCCTGTGTCGTTTGGAGCTGTCAGAAGCCATAAAATAAATGTCATGCTCATGTCACTTTCCAGGTCCATGCGAACGGTTCGAAACGCAGAAAATGTCAAATCTATTTTACACTTCCATTTGTTTTACACGACTAGGATGGGAAACTCCAGGGCGACTGCCGTTTCATTTTTAGTTTATTTCTTTATCATTGTTTTCTATTCTTATTTTGAGCTTAAATTTGAGCTTAAAATGATACATTTGAAAAGTACGTGGGTTAAACGAACGTCACGAGTGAAAGATCTAAATATATTATATATTTATTTATATGAGAAAATATATAAAGTGTTTTAGCAACTGAAAGCTGCTAAAATAAAATGTAACTAACTATGATATTACCGACAGCAACTAGCTGCTGTTTAAAATGACCTTATATAGGCACATTGGAGCAGTAACTTACCCTCCATCCTAAGTTTAAGAATTTGGATTGTAATGATTGGCTGTATGCTTACGTGACATTCATCTTCGCATTTTTCGCCCAAAACTTCGCAGTAACATAACCGCACACCCATTTGCATAAAACAAAGTTATAAGGAATCACTGAGACGGAAACGCATATAAAAATGTGACTGAACTTCACATTTTCTTTCTTTTCCGATTTATTGTCGAACGTTATGAGTAATGAAACCTAATGTATTTAAAACTATTATGAAAATAATGTTCACGAAATAAATCCTAATCGAAATAATAAAAAAATTAAATAATAATAATCTCCTTACTAACGAGATTATCCACGTGCTCACATATTGGAAGTGCTGTAAGCCCTTACTATCGAGATTATCCACGCGCTCACATATTGAATAATTGCAAGCCTTAACTAATGACATTATCCACGTGCTCACATATTGAAGAGTTATAAACCTTAACTAATGAGATTATCCACGCGCTCACATATTGAATTATTGTAAACCTTAACTAACGACATTATCCATGTGCTCACATATTGAAGAGTTATAAACCTTAACTAACGACATTATCCACGTGCTCACATATTGAAGAGTTATAAACCTTAACTAACGAGATTATCCACGCGCTCACATATTGAAGAGTTATAAACCTTAACTAATGAGATTATCCACGCGCTCACATATTGAATTATTGTAAACCTTAACTAACGAGATTATTCTCGCTCACATATTGAAGAGTTATAAACCATTACCAACGAGATTATCCACGCACTCACATATTGAAGTACTATAAACCCTTGCTAAAGAGATGCCGGTTTTGCTAAAATGTATCTCTTGCAATCACCATGAGAAAAACGATCAAGAGCGAAACCAATAAAAATAGCTAAAAATTATTCAATTTTTATATTATGTGTAGTTTTCGTGAATGTTTTAAAATTAAATTAAACATGTAGAATAAAAGATCAAAATAAGAAGATGCTTTAAGAAAAATCAAATCTGCGCCCTAGACGACCCGTTATTTTATTTTAACTTTTCTTCAATTATGTATATTGGAATATATTAATATTTAAAAGAAATAATATAATGAAAAATTAAGAAACAGCACATTTTATTTATCCGCATCCTGTAATTTGTTTTACTGAAGAACGATTTGCAATTTGCTTAAATTGAATGCATTCAATATGCTACATGTATTATTAAAGTATCAAATTAAATTGAAATATTATTACATTAATGAAGATCCGTTTTGTGGCGTAATATTAAAATAATTTAATTAAATTAAAATATTCTCATATTAACAAAGACCCGTTTTCTGCCATACAGGGGCAGCTGTTGGACCAGAACGTGTCGGCAGGAATAATCCTAAGCAACCAGAGTTTGGTGCTGCAGCGAGCGAGGCGACAGCACGCCGGCGTCTACAGCTGCCTCGCCTCCAACATAGAGGGAGACGGCGCGTCTAACGCCATCACTCTCACCGTCAAGTGTGAGTAGTTTTCATAATAATAATAATAATAATATTAATATTAATAATAATAATTATAATAATAATATTAATAATAATAATAGCGGTTTTAACTTTTATTAAGCCGTGGGCCTGTCGCCGATTCTTAACATCGCAGAACATTCACAGCATTTTGAGGTCTCGAACTCGCAACTCACTGCTACAATTCTGCTCTGCTTAACCGCCCGGCCTCCTCGCCGATTCTGACCAGAAACTGGCGCACAGAGCTGGGATCGAACCCGCGCCTCTCTGCGCCAATCTTGGTACTCTGAACTGTAACCACTGGGCCACCCTGCCATGTATTCATACTAGAAGGAAATTAATTTTCAGAATACGAATAACTTTGGTAGAACAGTAGATGTAGAGGAAAATAGTTGGTTTCCTATGTTTCTACATATTCCTAATACAAGGTATTTAAATTTAATGTGCAAATTAAATTGGTGGAAGTAAAGGGTTCTCATTTGACTGTGTAGTGAAAAGTAATTTTCCTATATTCCTACGAAAATTAATCAAAATTTATTATACGATTAAATTTGATGGAACAGTTGAAGTGTAAGACTACTTACTGCCTCAATTTGAAAATGCAGTTTTACTGGTTTTCCTAGGTTCCAGCTGAACGCTATTTGAAAGGTACAATACCAAGCACTCTGCAGGGACTATGTTTGTATAGTTTACTGCCTCATCTTGACGATGCAGTATGAGTAGTTTTCCTACTTTAATACTAAAAGTTTTTTAAAATTCATAATTCGCAAAACTTGGGACCGTGGAGTAACCGTGGGAGTATTGACTGCCAATGAGAATATGTTAATTTATTTGTACCGTCTCACTGCACCGTTACTTTTAAGGTGCAGTGTGCATAATATTATATTGTGTTCCTAATAATAACTGATCAAAATAAAAAATATATTAAAATCAGCGCCCATTTATGCAAATTTTAGTTTTTCAAATGAGAATTTGAAGGAGATGAGCTTTTTGTTTGTTGTAACTAATATTTAAACGTACTCCTCACTCTATCTTGAATAATATTATAATGCTGATTGCGAGAAAACCTCATAATTTATTCGTCTAAATGACTTGTTTACATTAATCAACTAAAGTGCAATATAAAAGCATTTTTATTCCCAAGCTTTCTGATGTAGCTTTTCTCATAAAACAATAATTTTGTATGAATTTAGGCATGTCGGAAAATTGTCAACCAGCAAGCGATTTCAATAATAATAATTGCTGCCACATTTCTTAACTGTTCGTCATGATTAAAACTTCATATGTTAATCAACGTTAGGTTCAAAAATGGAATTTTCTGTTTTTTAAGAACTCAAAAAACCTTATTTATGCATTTAAGCTAGAGTTGCTTTGAATTAAGATAACCAAGGAATAACTTCATTTTAAATTTACTGGTAAGCTTGAAATTATTCAATATTTTTTTCATAAGCTGATATTAGGAAAAGATTTTATTATATTTTTTTGCAAGTTACAAAGAAATGAGAAATTCACGAATGAAACTTTCAAAAATATTTAATGTATAAGAATTTAAAGATATCGTCACTCGGGTTTAGGAGTGATTGCCACAAGCTGGCGTGCATCCGTCTTAATATCAAGTCAGTTGACTGCTCCCTGACGGCCGACGTAAACTCAGGATTGCTTTCCGCACTGGCGGCTTCCGTTCGTTAGGTTCGCAATGACTTTGGATTTCCGAGTCCTACTGTGCAACATTGGTGCATTCGGTCAGCCTAAATTAAAATTATTCATGCCTTTTCTCCGAATTTCGTCACTTCTTCATGTTAGATTGAAAATTTTGACGTTGAATTTGAATGATAGTTTAGCAGAATTCTCAAATTTCATTACGTTCACGTTAAGATAAATTTCTTGTGACCCCAAATTTTCATAATTATATGTACAATTCTATCAGGTCTCAACTTAGCTTTGGTTCTGTTCAAAATGAGAATATATGACGATTTTTTTGTGTTCAACTTCTTTTCAAACTGAGATACTAAAGAAAATATCCTTTAATGTATTTCTATAGAAAATATTTGGTGAAAGCAGCCGAATTGAATCAAGTTTCTTCCCGCGTTTGTCAATTCCGGTAGAGGTGCAATTTCTCCGCAGACCTTCGGCATTCCGTCAGCAAAAGCACTCACCTTATGAGGCGTTCGTTTTTCCGAACGAGAGAATAATTTCTTGACGTTTCGAATGAAATAACCAATGACGAGGAGAATTTCTGGCTTCGAATTCTTTGACAAAAAAAAACTCATGGGATATAACCTCACAGCTGAAAAAACTGGTATCTTATACATATTTTTCGAAATTAGCATTTGTTTGTGTGCGTTTGAAAACTTGCCCAGTAAATTTATACTGCCTATTCGATAGCGTATCCAGGGAATTATTCCGAGGCATTAACTGAATCTAAAAGTTTATTTTTAGTTAGAGAATAGTAAGGCATTGCAAAACAGAGAGCAAATGAAAACTGAAAAAGTTGAGCTTTTTAATTGGTTTGAATGATTTCACGTTACATGGTGCCAAAATATTTTTGAAACTAAAGAAGTTGAAACAAAAGACATTCACTAGTAGTTATACTTAAAATAACTTAGCAGATCTTTTTTGCAATTATGATCTTCGTACAAATTACGATTTGATATAAAGGGATTATGAAATTGCAGAGATTATCGATCCCGGTTACGCCTGACTAACCTGATAATATATTCTATATAAAAGATTATTAAGATAATAAAACGTACCATTAAACATCATATGTTAGAGTTGAAAAAATGAATAGTAGGTCCACTAATTTCACGGTTACTGCAATAAACCACCTCCGTGAGTTTTAAGAGATGACTCGAAGAATTTAAATAAAATGAAAACTTATGACACAGCAAATATTAGTGATTCACACCCCCATAATTATTTGGCTTAATCAACTACTCTCAAAGTAAATTTATACCCTGCAATTATTTTAAGAATGAAAATTGTCATTATTTTCATATAAGGTATACAAAGACGAGCAAATTTTTGAAAACAATAATTTTACCATTTACGAAGATATGAACAAAGAACGCGGGATCATTTCATATAATGAATCGAATTACCCTTCGGAAAAATATAGATTGCAAATTGAGGCTTAACACAATCATGGAATATGTAAACCAAGTACCCAGTGAATCAATATTTTTAAATAAAAAGTAAATTATACCCAAAACTGGTTAAACTAACAAGGAAATATTTGATCAAGTAAAGTTTGAGGAAAGTTGAATCATAAATAGGAATTATGGGAACACCAATGGAATTAAAATATTCATACTTCCAATAAATCTAAATACGCCACAATTTTAAGCAAATTTACATATATAGTAAATTAGAATAAACAGACTATTTTAATGTGTGAATGAAATAATTCGGCTGCCCGTCACCCTGCGACAGTCGCGCCTGTGTGCCGGGGGCCGGCGTGGCAGTACAGAGGAGCGTCGCTGATGGAGGTTCTGCAGGCGACCTGCCAACTGGACGCGCTGCCTCCCGTGCAGAGCGTCACTTGGACCTTCAACAACACCGGCGAGATCATCAACATCAGCAACGTGAGTTGTTGATTAGGACCTTCAACAATACCGGCGAGACCCTGTCTCTTATACACATCTAGATNTTGTTGATTAGGACCTTCAACAACACCGGCGAGATCATCAATATCAGCAACGTAAGTTGTTGATTAGTACATTCAAAAGTATCGTCGTGAGCATCAACATCAGCAACGTGAGTTATTGATTAGGACTTTCAACAACACCGGCGAGATCATCAACATCAGCAACGTGAGTTGTTGATTAGGACCTTCGACAATACCGTTGTGAGTATAAACATCAGCAGCGTGAGTTGTTGATTAGGACTTTCAAAAATACCGTCGTGAGCATCAACACCAGCAATGATGATTAATAATTATATTTTATTGCATAATTGCTTCGTCTATTTCAAAGGCAGTATGATGTTGCTTGAGTGCGACTAATACATTTTGAAACAATCAGAGCAGGGAAGAGATTAAATTAAGTGTTGTAACACAATTAACAGGAGAATCAAGACCATGAGATTCATATACGGGAGTGGTTTGTTGCTTCACAGCCTGCACCGGTAGAAAGTTGCTAGGTTCTCTGTGTACAGTAAAATAATTACACGGAACATACTAGACAATTTCGTAAGAGCAGAACACGCGTCCCCAAACGGCGGTTCGTAAGGAATACTACAATTTATAGCCCCTCCATGCCACACAAGGAATGAAATTAGAAACGGAGATCTTCCGAAGTTTTAAGTGCAAATTTGGTACAAATCTGGAAATTAAACGTTGGGTCTCCTTGGTTTAGCACGGAATTTATTTAATACCAAAAGTTATAACATTTATTACTTCATTGCCCCAGACCTAGAGCAACTAAATTTGACTGATGAGTTATCTTGATATGTAATACGATTACTTTTAAACAGACTGGCTTCATTTTATGCACTATCGAATTTTGCTGTGATACAAATGGATTCGCTAAAGCAAGATCAAACGAATTAACTCACAAACTACGAAAATTACTTTCCATTCACATAATTCTCAAAAACCGATAATATTCGCATCATCTTCGTCATAATTTGCAATCATAACCGTAAAACCAATCATAGATCTTAGCTTAGCACTTTCCATCAGAGGTTTGCGGCACATCCATTCATTTCATCCAGCAAACCTTTTCCGGATCTTGCGTGCCGACTCTCGCCGTCTTTTTATTAAGGCAGCGCTACGGAAAGGTTGTGCAGAGCCACGTTTGCTCTCTGTCATTTGCATGCAGATTTCATGCCAGGGCTTACCGCCAACGCTGCCAAGATTTGTTTTCTTTGAGGTTACACGCAAAATAAAACGAGTTTTTGCGAATTTTGTCAGATACATTAAAATAATATGGTATTTTAATAGATTTCAGTATCATAAAGAATTCCAAAAGGAAATTAAACGCTATTTCTGGGTCATGATAAATTTTGAATTGTTTATCTTCAGCTACGGTGTGTCGTGAATCTACGGTACAAGATAGAAAAAGACGGTAGCATTTAGGGAAGCTGAAATCTATTAGTCGATTCCAAAACTTTCCAAATTAAATAATTAATTGTGGTTTAAGTTGCTATCAACATTGTTCTAATTTGTACGAGACCGTAAGGGTTTGTACTATGCTCAGTTTTTCTTAAATTAAGGTTTAAATAAATTACCATTGCTACAATTCAAGCAGCATTTGTAAAAACATTGTACTATAAAAGTTATGGCATTGTAAAAAATGATGTTGCTTGGAAATATTTATACTAATAATTTTTCAACGATGAAACGTCCGTATCACTCCATGTTATTTCAGTATATCGTTTCCCGTTGGACTTCAGCGTATATACGTAGAAATAGCGGCAAGCTTTCTCATTTAAACATCGTTACTAACACTCATCTAACCAATTTCTATTTAAATTTCTGGCTATATAATTCAGTTACTAGTCCTTTCCAGGATCATCACATCATAACATAGGAGTTTCACATTTTCTAAATAATTGTTATGCGGCATGGCTGTGAAACGATGCAAATCTCATGGCCTGCAGATCCTTTTAGGTCATAACCTAAAGATATTAAGAAAGCTATTTACATAATTCCAGAGCATCATAATTATCCTTTCAGTGTTAAAAACATTTTTAAGGCAAAATTTAAGGAGCCTTGTTGTACTTTACACAGGATTTGGTGACGGTAACAGGGAGCAATTCAACAGTCCGTTACACGCCTCTCACCGAACTAGACTTCGGCAGCCTCCTCTGTTGGGGGACGAACGAAGTGGGCAAGCAGAAAATTCCATGTGGAGTGCAGATCTTCCCTGCTGGTGAGTTGAAAAACCTGTGTGTGGTGTAGATCTTCCCTGCTGGTGAGTTGAAAAACCTGTGTGTGGTGTAGATCTTCCCTATGGTGCAGATCTTCCCTGCTGGTGAGTTGAAAAACCTGTGTGTGGTGCAGATCTTCCCTGCTGGTGAGTTTAAAAACCTGTGTGTGGTGCAGATCTTCCCTGCTGGTGAGTTGAAAAATAATGTGTGGTGCAGGTTCCGCTGGTGAGTTTAAAATCTGTTTGTGGTGCAGGTCTATTCTGGTGGTGAGTTTAAAAATCAGTATGTGGTGCAGTTTTTTCCGGTAGTGAGTTTAAAAATCAGTGTGTAGTGCAGGTCTTTTCCGGTGGTGAGTTTAAAAATCAGTGTGTAGTGCAGGACTTTTCCGGTGGTGAGTTTAAAAAATATTTAGTGGTGCAGCTTGTTTCCGGTGGTCTGTTTGAGAATCAGTGTACACGGTAAACTTTTCTACTGGGGAGCTTAAAAACTTTGCATGAAGCAAACTTTTTCTGCTGACGATTTAAAATCCGTATGAGGAATTTTTCCTGATGGTGAGTTTAAAAATCAGGATAAAGGGCAAACTTTTTCTACGTGTGTGTTTTAAAATAATGATTTAGGGCAAATTTTTCTGCTAGTGAGCTTAATAATCAGAATATGGTACAAACTTTTTCGGCTGGTGACTTTAAAAATTATTTTTTGTTCAGAGCTCCCCTGCAGTACGTTTAAAAATCTCTCATTAGTATAGATCTTCTAAGGTGGTGAGTTCAAAAATCAGTGAAGTGCAAATCTTCCATGCTGATGAGTTTAAAAAGTAAATCAGGCTGCAGTTCTTTCAAATTACTAGATGAAAAACTAGCATATTTTCAGGTTTTCCCAATACTGATGTCAAAAATTAATGTTAATTCATGTATATTCCCATAAAGATTTTCAAATTTAGTGTCTGAAGCAGTTCTTTCCAACTCTTGAGTTTCCATGTAAAACCCGGCAGCTTCATGACACTAGAATCGATACGGGATTTTTTCATATTATTCACCAATTTATTTTGACAGTGGACCTACATCCATGCAAGTGTCTCATATCCCATGCTTTACATGACCAGTTAATATCAACTGAGGTCGCAAACAATTATTTGTTACTGCCAAACAATATACTGAGAAGCTAAATCAATTTTAGCTCATAGACGACAAATCACCGCTTTTTCAGCAATATGGGCTTCAATAATATTTGTAATATGACTAAATGTTTCGACGATTAAGTGCGAGATGAGGTGACACAGTTTTGCCTTTATCATGAACTATCACAAAATCTACGGAATCATTATTTTTGTTTTTTTATTATCAAAAACTCAAGATTACCTAAGCCATGAGTTCAATCTCGCAGAGACAAACGAGTCAACGGATGAGACAGCAATCTCTCACTCAGGGCCAGAGTTTTGCAATAAGCTCATACTTGGCCAAGCTAAAACTGACGTTGTTTTTTCCTTCGCATATTAAGTTGAAACATTTCCCTCAAGAGTGATTGATGAAGGATCTACCAAGCAGTTGGAAGCTCGAAGTCGTTGATATACCAAGTCATCGCTGGAAGGAAGTACCATGTTTCACATACATCATTCGTTCAAATTAGTATTTGCCGATGAGGTTTACGGTTACCTACGAATCACATTAAAATTCTTCATTAAAAATGATGCACTGTCTACTGGCTAGTATAAATAGCATGATAAATTAGTTCTGTATATCAAAATTTTTTTCTTTTTAAATAAGTAAATTAGGACTAACACAATGTATAATATATTTCAATTTTATTTCAGGTCGTACAATTAAGGCCGAAAATCATTCATTTGTGACTCAATTCAGATAGCAGCGATTCATCAGCTCTCAAAAGTTACAGGACGCGTTTTTTAAAACCTCATAGTTTCATCTCTTTAAATTCCACTAGCTGAATAATAGGACTTCTTTCAAGCTTCAAAGAAGCTGTTTCACTTTCTTGTATCTATCACGACTATTAATTGAAAAATTTAAAAGTATATCATTAATTAATTCCCTGCACTCACCTAATAGGGCTCCTCACAATCATGAAAGAGTGCAGACAAATTTCAAGGAGAAAGTTAAGTCATCCATAATTGCTAATCCTGAAATCGTAAAATTATCCACAATTATGTATTCAAATTGAGATCCATAATTTTTTCGTTTCTTTCCTCATATGTTGGCTTATTCACTTGCATCAGCAAACCGCAAAATGTTTTAATTTTCTGGCTTGGTTCGAAATGAAGGATGAAAAGCTCAATGCCAACGTGAGACTGGAGATCACTAGAGCCGACTGAAATTTAAATGTCACTTCTAGCATCCAGCCCGTAATTAAGATTATAGGGAAACGCAGGGATCACAGAGATTATTCGGTGAAATTATTGCCGGCATAATTGAGTCGCATGTTAGTCGTGATGAGTTCATATCCTAACCGTCACATCAGTTCTCAAATAAAGCAGAAATTGCAAGCAAGAGCTTCAGTAAACTATTTCGCCATCTTGTACACGTAAGGATTATTATTGATCAATGATTAAGATAATGTTCAGATTATTCTTTGCAACACCCTGGACTCGAATGAAAGATTAGTTGAAAAACTTTTGGAGAAATTCCTTTTTATTCGAGATATTAAACAGATATTAGATAGACAATTTCATAACACCCATAATAATATGGACTTACTTTCATAAATACTGTATTACTTTGAGCGGTGTAAAAAAATTGATGCCTTCGAATTAAAAAGTATTCCAGGGAGCGCAAAATGTGTGCATCGTCCAATATTCGTTTTAGAAAATGAAACTGTTTAAAACTTTACCAACGAAAAATTGGGAGCTAAACTAAACTTATCTTGATTAAAAAACATGTCGTACTTTTTTAACAATATTTCAACTGTCCGGAACAATATGAAGAAAACGAGCCCCAGTTTTGCACACAACCGAAACTGTAAACGAACACCAATTCTTTATTTTGTATAACAGAATAAATATAAATGCGGCCGAAATTAAAGTGAGCATATATGATCAATTCTTTGTCTACAGAGACCTAAAGCGTTTCATAGCTCAGCTATATGCAGTTAAAAATACTTTTATCGTGTGATTCAGCCAGTTGACTATTTCAGACACGAAATTTACTTATGTTAACTTATCTCTTAGTAATCGCTTCTGACGCATTTCATTTTCCCTATACTTAAACGCCGCTCAGCAAAGCTGTATATTTTCTTATGAAATTCCAATTAAAATACATCCGCGTTTGGGATATTTATGCCGGTATTCACGATACGTTATGACCGTAATACGATGCTCAAAATTGTGCAACAATATTAACTCTGATTAAGAGCCTAATTCCAACGTTCTTGTTCTCCGCTCAGCTTTAGACCCACAACATTTATGTGAATTTTGTTTGTCATATACATGCTAGGGAAACAGGTTCTCGAAACATTGCATTATTGAGCCCGTAAAATGAGATTCGCGTTGCTTTAGACGCATTTTGCGTGCCGGCACGACAGCCTAATTCCATCGAGCCGCCTCATAACAAAACCCATTGTTTCTGAGTGTCTCCGCAGCCCTGATCACGTAGCCTAGATACGGCCTGTGCCTGGGCTCTAGATTAGCTTCCATTACTTGTCCTTACGGTGGGGCCTCTAGATTAGTTTCCATAAGTAACACAATGCAGTAATATTGGCTTCCAAGAGCTGCGCTTTAAGATTAGTTAACAATGAGTAATGCATTTCGATTATCTTCCATGTGTAACGCTGTTACATTAGCTTCCATGAATTGACTTTTTAGATTATCTTCCATGAGTTGCGCTTTTACATAAGTGTCCATAGGTAACGCAGCTAGATTAGTTTCGTTTTGTTTAACATATATAAAGATTCCTTTTCAATCGTCACTCTAAACCTTGAACGTGTTTGATGTTTAACATCTTTGTGTGGTTAAGAGTTAGATTATTACTGATATTGCATTTGTATTTCTAAATCCCGTGAACAAATAACTACCATCAAATACCATAAAGGCAGCGACTTAAACAGAGCTTTAATTAGCATGTTAATGTTTATTAACTGAAATATCTATATCCATGAAAAATTATTCATAAATAACTATAGTCTCTCCAGTGAAGATTTTTGAAGGCAACATTATAGTAGCCACTATGAATTAATGAGGTTGAATTTACACTTGGATCTAAATCAGGTGTTAACTTCATGCAAATATTACAGCTAAAAAATTAATTTCAGGCACAGATCAGCATAAATTCATGGTTTGTGTGCCTACCGAGAAGAGAAGTTAACTTTTCTTTGCCTAATGGAACTAAACTCTAATTCACTAAATACTAATTCGCGGAAACTTCCTGTTTTGTATTTCGCGCCAAGAAGCCAGATGATGTAGGAAAAGAGTGAGAAGTATTTCATGAGAAAGGCATGGTCATGAAATTTTGAGTCCTATCTAATAATTTGCCACTATGCAAAGGACAAGTAAGCAGCGTGCGCTTGCTGTCGAGGCGTACTTTTCTAATGGCCGTTTACAGAGTTGCCTCCATCTGAGACAATACTTTGCAGGGCGCTTCATTTTCGTTGAGAAGTGACCTACTTTGGCCGACCCGATCCCCCGACTTGGCTCCGTATGATTTTTAATGGGGTCATCTTAAACCAATTGTTTACAATGACTGTACGAGGAAGGACCCTACCTCATTTGAAGAACAACATATGCCAAGCCATCGCCTACATACCGGTCAATATGCTTCAGCGCGTTTAATGGAATTTTGAAAATCGACTAATTGAATGCATTGAATGGGGGCCGTCATTTGTCCGATTTCTTCTTTGAAACTAAGAGACACAAAAATTCATTTAATATCTTTCTCTAATGTCTTTTTTTAATGTCTAATATCCTTACTAGTTTTGCATGAAGCTTTAAAATAAGGGAGTTTCCGTGAATCATCCTGTATCACATATATTTGCATGCCGTAAGAATAACCATATATAAGTCTGTACCTAGAGTAAATTTTCGACGCAAGTGCCTACAGCAACAGGAAATTCAAGTTCGCAAACGATCCAATTTGGTCGCATTCAAGAGTGTGCCCGACACGAGCGCTTCAGCCATATGAGCTTCAATGGGTACACGCTTCACACTCGCAAATACACCAGCACAGGCGATGGCGGCTCTCATGGGCTGAATTGTTCACACTCCGCAATCAAGAATTCCCCAAACTAGAATGAGACTGCCTAATGAGATTGGCTGGACAGTTTTGTTTATACGCTTCGCACTCGCGAGTGCCCTAATACGAGCGAGTCCGCTAGTGTGCTAGTGCTAGACTACATGCTTCACACTTGCGAGTGCCCCAACACGAGTGAGTCAGCCTTATGCGCTGTACTGCACGCTACACACTTTCGAGTGCCCCAACACAAGCGAGTGAACTAATGGGTTGGACTGTACATGCTTCACAATTGCGAGTGCCCCAACACAAGCAAGTCAGCCTATTGGACTGGACTGTACATGCTTCACACTTTCGAGTGCCCCAACACAAGCAAGTCAGCCTAATGGGCTGGACTGTACTTGGTTCACACTTTTGCGTGCCCCAACACAAGCGAGTCAACTAATGGAATGGACTGTACATGCTGCGCGCTTCACACTTGCGAGTGCCCCAACCCGAAACGAGTCATTTAATGGGCTGTACCGTACACTTCTCGCAAGTTTAAATCGCATTTAATTGCCACGAGGAAGCCACCAGGCAAGTAACTTAGATGCGAGACAAGGAAATGACGCTGAAGGCAAATCAAATTACGTCTGGTCTCAAGTTTTGCTCGATTGCAGTGAAGTTTTACTCAACTTACGTGGTTGGAATTAAATTTAAGTAATACTTATTGGTAATAGACGCAAGTGAAATCAATTAATGTCGGCTGAATTAATCATGAACAAATATTTTTTTGAAAGTATATTTAAAAGGTTTTTTTTAATTAAAAAAATTAATTCATGGATATTATTGTTAAATTTAAGTCAAATTCACTTTGTAATCGTTTATGCTAGAAAATAAAGCATACTTTTATCTAAACCGACTGCGTGTTGAGCAAAACAATACCCTAGTAATAAAAAAACATTTTAAAGGAATATTTGCAAATGTAAACAAATGAATTGACATGTTGGCTGTAAATCGATACTAACAAATATCGTAAAAAATTTTAATTTTATAACGGAATTCCAATGTCTAACATCGAGCTTGTACCTACTACGAATTGTAGACATTAGCAGCAATAAGCAACGAACCATTTACTTGGCACGTAAATGATAAATAATTTAGAATGATAATTTATGTGATTACCTTCACTTGGTTTAAACTAGAACAATAATACTGGCGATTGACAAGCAGAACTTCATAGGTCGGCTCACCAACATCCCAACGTAGGCAAATAAAAATGTAACTCAGTACTCACTGCAGTGAGTGACAGAGAGCGCATTTTCTCGTCGACGAAAACGTGAAGTCACGGACGGACAGACGGACGGACGGACAGACGGACATGGCGAGCACAATAGTGCATTTTTTCCATAATTGAGAAAATGCGCTAAAACCATTAACGGTTTAATCACCTATAACAACGCAATTAAGAACGCTTATTAATGACGTCCATCCCTTACACCGGTAACTCTCATACAGTTAGATCTGAATTAATTCGCAACCTTACAGGCACAACATATTCGTAGTGTGATGAAACTGATATAAACATGGCAATTCTAGTGCTTACAAAATTTAAACGGAAATTTCTCAAAAAAATATAGCAATATGTGAGAAAAATATATGAAGCTATTTCTGAAAAATATTGGCCACGCTTCTAACAGTATAACGTAATCTACACAAATCCGGGCAAAAATCTTCCAAACTGGAATCAAAGCTCCCTTGCAACCAGTTAAAAGTTCATATAATTACATTCATATTACGACAGTGCCCTGCATTAAACTCATACGGATGTTTCGCTGCAACACTTGAAGCATCAACCAAAAACACAGTACCGACATGTTCGCTCGTTTGGGAATTTCATTGCAGTCACGAGCACCAACTAAAGATGGTGCAGTTTGTTCCAGCAGACTTCAGTGAGTGCAGACACACTGAATCTGGTGCAGTTTGTTCCAGCAGACTGCAGTGAGTGCAGACACATTGAATCTGGTGCAGTTTGTTCCAGCAGACTGCAGTGAGTGCAGACCACATGAATCTGGTGCAGTTTGTTCCAGCAGACTGCAGTGAGCATTCAAAGGAAATTATTACGCCTCCACCAGCGTGTTCGCCAGTTTGATGACAGTCATTAAATGGGGGTTTTATAAGTCGAAAATCGTGTAGTCACAGCGCTCGAAAACAGTGATCTTGAGCCTTCCAATGGCCGAAGTGATGAAATGGTTGTGCGTGAAATGTTCCATGAAAGATCCCGGCATAGTGGAGTTGCTAGAACGGAGTGGTGATAAAACATAAAATACTGCATTCAATAACATAACATGAAACAATTAATAATTTAAATTAAAAACAATCCTCATAATCTTAAGCAGCCATGCTGGCGTTAGTGCCACTGTATATTTGGAATGACTTGATAACTTTAACTTACCTGGATCTTTCTGTGAAAATTCAAGCGACACGTTTGGCGAAATTCGCAAATTTACTTCTAACTGCAGCCAAAAATACGAGCAACGACTCAGCGCGCTTTGATTTGGACTCGTAGCTCTGAGGCTGGTTTCCTTATTTGCTGCAACTATTTCAGTTAATTTCACGGAGAATGCCGACTCTGAATATCTCAGCCGAACTGCAAATGTTTTACGCTGAGTTCAATTTTCTCTGGCGAGAAATTCCTAGAACCAAGCAATTCATTCGGAAAACCCGAAAATCCGTTCGAGTTCGCAGCTTAGGTTCGGACAGGTGCTTACACCGTCCAGTGGAGCTGAAACCTTCGTAACATGAATCATTCTTATTTGTAATTATCAAGTTTTATTCACTATTCAAAAAAATTAATTTGATATTAACCAACATAAAGCTGCGTTATAGTAATAGTTCAGGTGACCTCAATGGGAAAAATCACCTGTGACGAAATGTGGCTACCGATTAATTACTAATTATGAATGAGCTCCCATGGCGAAATCTTAACATGATTGGCTATGCACATTTATCAAAACTAAATCGATAGATTAGAGCAGAAAATAAATTCACACATTTAAAAAAACAGACCATTGTTATCGAAGCAAAATGTCTATTCGACAATACTGTCATCCATGCATAATGTTTACGTAGCATTTTTGTTATCTAAGTTTATTTTATGTTACCAAATTTTATCAATGACTTAAGTCAATAGAGGAAATAAATTCAATATCACTATGTTCATAGAATATTATTTTTACGGAACAAAAGTTCTATCCATGCACGAAGGAAACGTAACAAAGTTATCATCCGTACTGGGTGTCTATCGCCTTATTTATATTATTCCCATATCTCAAAGCCAGGATATTAGCATAGGCATATCATCTATTACATCAATGCCGGTGCATTGTCATCAGCAGGGCCTCCTCCGAAAGGCCTCCCATTAATCATGACTAATTAGACTACGACTTCGGCTTGGTCAGGTCGGCCGGACCCTCCGGACGAGTGCGAACAATTCAACTTCTCCGTTTCGGTGATCAGCGTTCTCTGCAAGGCTGGCTTCGATGGCGGCTTACGGCAGAACTTCACGCTTGAAATCTATGAGGAGAATCAGTCGTTACTGATCGCCACCGTAACGAATGAGGCGAGTCTTTAATACACGATTATACTGTATGTTTAAAAATGCTATAATCTGTTTATAAAATTCAGAAATCTTATATTCCCAAATAAGAACCTATATTCGCCTTTGAAATATTATTATTAGAAAAATATTTGTTTAAATATATGTGTATTTTGTAAGCAGTTTCCTGTACTGGAGGTGGCGAGTGTGGCGTCAGCCCAGAGCTACCGCGCGGTGCTTTACAGCGCCAACGCTAAGGGCCGGAGTGATGTCACCACAATGTCGGTCATCACACTCAGGGATCTGGTGGAGAGGAGGACTGGTGAGTGGTGATTCTACGTCATCAACCTGAAACATCTGCTAAACTAAATGAAAATTCCATTCCCGTTATCAAATCTTTCAAGAATTCCGAAAATTTTTGAATTTTCCGAAAAAGAAACGAAGATCCCAAAAAAAGCAAACCAAATTTTTTGTGAAATTGTCACAAAACTAAATCATATGGAAGAACTCAGCGCCAATTTAGGAAGGCATCAGCCAAGCAGTTTGTAGAAGCGTTGGTCCCTGCACGACACGAGCGAGCGAGCAAAATGCTCTGCATTTTGTCTTGCAGAGAAATATAATCCACGGCTGCTGGTGTCTGCGGCATCGCCTGCCAATAGGCGAGAATGTTTGGAAATTACAGCTCATAATTTCCGACATCAGCCTTCTAGAACGCCAATTTTGGCAGTGTGTTTGTCTAGTCTGATAATTGCAAAAAAATTATCCTTCGTTGAGGTGTCCAAGTGATATGGAGAATTAATGCGGCAATTTGGTTTCTATCCTGACTTGCAATTATTATATACTCGTAGCAGTGTCAAAGAGCTACGTGCGATCAACGAAACAATTGTATTTTCTACACTATATTTTTGTTAAATACCACCGTAGCCAGTTGATAAATCCAGTTCAAGTGAAGAATGTAAAATTGTTTCGCCCACGGATTTTCAGCGTTCATACGCTGACGCAAGATGTTGCCCATTCGCTAGTTGTCTTGCTTATCATCATGCAATGATATTTTTTAGATGCATACAATGTAGATTTCTTGTATCAATTTTCTATCACTCAAGTTACTTTTAGTTAAGTGTAATTTCGCTGCACACGTACATATGCATTATGGTTTGCTAAACTACATTTTAGTTATATTTTTTTTATTTTCATGCATCTTACAGCAGCCATGAAGCCTCCACCAGAATACCCTCTGCTGGCATCGACATCTTTGGACGCGTTGGACAGCGTGCCCACTTACGTGGTCATCACACTAGGCATCATTGCTGGATTAATTCTGGTATATTTCCTGTTGTTCGTTGCCATCAGATTTAAGAGCTCACAACGTCGCCGCAACCAACGCTTGAGTTTGGATGATCTTAGCGACAGAAGTCCTCAGGCTACACCAAATTTTGATGAGCATCCCTCACTCAATGTCGCCGAAAAACCTGACGCGCATCTCACGAAAAACTCAAAAAGTCTCCCTGAAAAACGTTTGCAAAGTATGAGCGCCCAAACGGCCCCACATATTTCTCTCGCTGGTCCAGTAAATGAAAGCTCTGCCAATAACAAAGATTTTACAAAAAGAACACGAAAAAAACTTACCGGAGATGAAGTGACGGCCGAGCCAATTTTGGATGCCGAAGATCCAGTGGAGACGAGACTCCCAAAAAACGTTAGTGGAACAGAAGGTAAGGCTTTAATTTAAAACACAAATTATCAACAAAGTTTTTAGCTTTAACTAAAGACTAACCACAAGTTTATGATTAGCTCACATATGAGACGAAACACGGAAATAATTAGCACGCTTTTAATTCTATCCATACGGAAACGATTAAAGAAGTTTGAGTGTGCAAGTAAAATTATTTTCAGTTTAAACAATAGTTGCGGAAATAGTACAAAGTCGTTACTTTAGGAAGTCTTAATTAATTGAAGAAGATGACATACGATTAATTTATTTAGATGTAGTTTAATAGGCATCAGGTTTATAATTAATTCATAAACTTCTGTAAAGACCAAAACATGATATCCCCTACACAAAGTGCCAAATTCCAATCTAAAGCTCAATGAATGTCAAACGGTCATTTGGAAAAGAATAAATTTTGTTATATTGTTGCGAAGTAAGTATAGGTATGCTTGCTAAGTACGTCAGTTCGAATTCGCATTGATATGAAACACTGTTTTAATTCAAACATTATCTCTTCAATCGATGCAATTCCCACACAAATTTGACGTTAAAATATCGTTGATTTAGTTTTTGCAGCGAAACTAATTCGTAATCAACGTTATATCAATGTCGTTTACTTGGAGGTCATATATCAAAATAATGATTTATAGAACAATATATATCTTTCTAATATTTTTGAAAAAATAATTTAAGATGAATATTATTTCTGCAAAATGTGAAGGACTTACTCTGGAATAAGATTGAAAAAGAGAGTGAAAATATCTTCAATAAACTTCTTTCGAACTTAATTTAAAAAAAATCGTTCAAAGGAGCAGACTTGCCATTTAACATTAAAAACTATCATTTGTGTTGCAAGATCGTGTTTTTCAAGTGTCCTTGAACTCGTAAGCATGATTTAAATTTAAATTACGAAATATCTGACCTAAACTGAAACTTGGTTCATAAACTTTGGCACATTGAATCTCACTTCATATGCTATAAGCTATTAACTGGCAAGAAAAATATACGATCAGGAACAACTTATTATCATTGATCAATGCGGATCACAGCCGAATTTGGTAATTTTAATCAGTACGAATTGAGTCTTGCCTCATTGGAGAAAAATTCACGTTATTTTTCAAAGTCGGACGCGAATCTTGGTCAGGCTGTGCAACCTTCCGACTGAAACTCAATACTCAATCAATTCCTCTTTGCAGTTCAAAAATTTCCGAGCCTCCCTATATGAGCGCCCCACATTCTTTGAAACAGATTCCTAGTTTTATGGGCCCTGGTTTTGGCAAACTGAGTTCAACGTGATTGCGAATTGGTCCGAACGGAAGCCCTCACACGGCAGTTGCTCCCAGAAGGAAAATAATTAAGCCTATGGGATTTTTGAACGTCAGTGATTATTGACAAATGACTTGGTAAAATGGTTAAGCTTGCATCTCTCTTTGAGGGCACATCGGAGTTTTTGATTGCCGTCAGGGTGATTAATTACCGTCAAACGTTTGAAATTTCCTGATTCGATGATACATCTCATTTTTCATCTGAATATTTATTTCAATGAGATCATTTGCAAGTAATACTCAGGAAAAATCTACGTTGGTGTCAGCGGTAACTTTCAATCATGCGATTTCATCACAACTTTGAATATATTTTTCCATGATATGCGTCGTTCATCGATGTTTCAGGACCATTAATATCTTCCCTTCTCCAGAGGGTTAAATCGAAGCGTCTGGCAGCTCATGCACTTGACACAATATATTATACCTGAGCTGAGGAAGGATGCTCAGAAATGACGTATTACGCATTCTGTCTTAACGCTCCGCAGTTTTATTCATAAAACCTGTCATACTTCAATCCCAAAAGACCGTAAAAATTTATTACATATATTACAGTCTTCTCAATGAATGATGACTGAGCTTAGCTTCGTTTATACAACGTGTATAAGTTTAATTCTAGCTCGTACTTTGGAATCTTTGTTAATGTGCAAGACGTATCATTTTTGAAACGGGATAATTTATCTAATTTGAATCGAATATTTATTCACTATAATGCATGAGACAGTTGAAATATATTTATGTTCACTGTTAGACTATAAATTAAATAAGTAAATAGTGACTCATTCCCCGTCGACGTAACTTTCTCCATTATTGGTCATTTTACACATTCATGCACGAGCGCGGAAGCAAAGTCAACTAAAGTTTAGTTATACTTCGCTTTCATATTTAGTGATAATCCGTTGAGCATTGGAATTGAAGACCGGTCCGGTATGTTGCAGTTTCAAGGGACTCCTCTCATCAACATCAAAGTGTCCGGCCCGTCAGATCAGAAGAGGCAGCCGCCAGTGACGCGTTCCTTGACAAACCAGCCTCAGGCGACCGTCGCTTCTATGGCCCTGGACCTGCGCTGGACACGCGCTCGGTCAGTGTGTCATGTAATTGATATTTTCCTGGAATGTTAAAAGCTAAAATAGCTACCAAGAACTTAACATTTCTTTATAAGAGAAGAAATTTCGGAGTCCATCTGAAATGATGAATTTTTTGGCTATTTTTCTTGTTTTTAAGTTCCTGGTTTATTCGGGATTTAAGCAGTTATATGATCTTAATTGCTATTTATGATAGTTTTGCACGATATTCCGACATGCTAAGTCTCTGACACGAGCATTATTTATAATGATCGGATTAGCATAGAATATTTTATACTGCTGAGACAACGAAAAAGTTATACCTTAGGGATACGATATCGAATACGTTTTTTTCCTTTAAGTATTATTGTTATATTAAGTTTTATATATTAAGTTTTTTTCCTTAAGTATTATTGCAGTACATGCTTAAACTATTTTAGTGCATTTCAATGTAGCTCCCTATTCTTTGAAGAGTGACAACTTTTTCAAGTTTGAATATGGTTCTATGGAAAGTTTATAAACTAAATTTAAGATGCGGTAAGGTTGAAAGCACAAAAAAGAAATGGATTTATCAGTGGAATTTTTCTCATGATTTCTCACACGATATTTTTCCTTCGTTTTCAGGCTATAACTCATGAAACTTCTAGGACAAGCAGCCAAGGATTGGATCCTCTATCATCCGGAGAATCAATTACGGAACTGCAAGTCGAATCCAGGAGCATTCCTCCCTCTCCGGCGCCCGTGAAGTGCGAGCATTCCAATATTAATGGGAAAAAAGAAATGACACCATTAACCGATTTCGACCTCCAACTCCTCGGGATGGGTCACTGTGACAGAAAAATTTCAGCCGAAAAGGCATTCTATCCTAAATCTTACGGGGACCGTGATCCATTTTTTAACTATAACTTGAACACAAATAATAATTTTCCCAGTTACTTAGACACCGTTGGTACTCGAACGCTAGACAGGGTTTCAAGAAATCGTCAAGACCGTGACTTTCAGAGGTTTTTACACTCGCTTCATGAATTGGGGTACAGTCTGCCTCTGAAAATCGGCCCGAGTAACGCTACTCTCAGCAATGCAAATCTCCTCAACTCGCACTTGATGAAATCAGATGGCAATTTAAGCATTCATCAAACCAATGAGCATTCTTTGCGAGCCCAGATTTTCAATAATGCAACAAGCAACTTTGAATTTGGTAGACCTTATCCTTTTGATAACCAAAATTTACGAAATACCAGCTTATCCTACAAAGATACGTTATCAAATAAAGACGGTAATTCAAATTTCCGAAACGAAATGTACTGTTTTCCAGAGGGTAATTTGTCTGCTTTCAATGATGACATGCATTGTTTAGGAAACGGTAAATCTTCAAAAAGTTCTTCAAGCTCGGATGTTAATGCTTTACTAGACGCCTTCATAAGGCCTATAACGCTCATAAGAGAACGAGAAAGTGCGGTTTGATCAGTTTGATTTTTGAACCTTATTTCCTATTTACAAAATTTTATTTCTGTCTGTCTTCTCAGCTATCAACCTTTTACTCGTGCTATATGACTTTTCTGACTTAATATTCTGAAACATTATTTTCAATATTTGCTCTCTCAGTAGTCAGGTTTTCGAAATAATTAACTGCTGAACTATACGAAATAAACTTTATTATTTTTATATTTACGTCCTATTAATTACATATTTTAATTCTCTCACATTTTCAACAGGTTAGTCCATTTGACCTTCATTTTGGTTTTGTGTTGCTAGGCTCGTTTTGAGGCAAAAGAGTTCGGTATTTGTAACAGACTAAGCCAGAGCTTGATTACACGAGTTACATAAAAGGGAAAGTATTTATAATTTAGTAAGGCACGTGCGAACAAATGTTGATATCAGTCATCAGACGATAATAATCGAACCTTTGCTGGTAAACCGAATGAGAACTCGTGTAAACAAAATGAACATACTAGTTGACCTCAGTATTGTACTTTATTCTTTATTATATTTATATTATTATATTATATTATTCTATAATTTTATATACTTTATATTTATATAAAATTTCCTATTTTTCATATGAAGGATCTGAAATAAATTTATGACACTTCCGTTTATTCTCGCTCCGTGCGTACTGTAATTCTGAATGATACTGGAAAAGCTAAAAAATATGCCTCTATGCGGGATCTATCAATGTTAGAGATTTTTTGTTCAAATGTGAATAAACAATTTGCATGGCATCTGTTGTGATAGTCTGAAATTTTTTTCGTATCCTTATTTTCTGAATTGATCTAGAGCTTGTATACGTCAAATGTAGTTGCAATAAACAATTTATTATCATTTTTTTTGAGGAGGTGATAGTTCTGTTTTAAGAGTTCTCAAAATCTTCCTAACCATTTTTGCTTGTTCAATTGTCACTTCCCATCATTTTAATTCCAAGTAATTTAAAGAAGGCATCCAAGTAGCTGAGCAGCTTATGCACACGAATCAACACATTTCTTTCATTGTTTGGGAGAATTAAATAATTTGGCGTGTTTTAAGTAATTCATGCTGCGTTAAATTTAAATTAAATCCATTTAAACTAAGCATTAATGTGATAATTCTATCAATATGGAAAGCAGGCCAATATGGTAACAAGCGAAAGCACGATCAATCATGCAAGGCAGGCTAGACACGCTGTCATGCTTTGCACCTCATATGCTACCTAGCAAGACATGATATTGTTGCCCTGCAGCCCTTGCAACAATCGCACAAACCCTATCAATGCGTAAGCCGCAGCCAAGCGAAACACTTAAGGTGCAGTCATGGACTCAACTGAGCTCATGTAACATTCATGAAGATCACATGTACCGTATATGTGAGCCGCAGCAAAGCAAGCTTACACTACACATATGATACAGCCATGCAATTAGGCACTGCACATATGGCACATATAATACAGTCAAGCAAGACAGCACTACACATATGATACAGTCAAGCAAGACAGCACTACACATATGATACAGTCAAGCAAGACAGCGCTACACATATGATACAGTCAAGCACGACAGCACTACACATATGATACAGTCAAGCAAGACAGCATTTCACATATGATACAGTCAAGCAAGACAGCACTACACATATGATACAGTCAAGCAAGACAGCATTTCACATATGATACAGCCAAGCACGACAGCACTACACATATGATACAATAATGAAAGCTACGTTACGATAGCAACTATCACGCAAGCCATGGCTTGACAAGAGAGCCAGAACCTGGATATATCGACAGATATCGAGTATCTCATCTACGTCTGCCCAGAAGACATCGGAGAAGTCTCTGAAATCAGAGCAAAAACTTCAGCTTCTTCACTGCGGTTGTTTTGCTGCTCTTCTGATTGGTTGCGGAGACAAGAATCTGGGTTGACTTGTTTCGGTCGCACCGAGGATCCACCAACCAAACTTTTCTCCAGTGCCTCTTTTGCGTCAGTAGAGCCCCTGCACAGAGTGATGTCGAAACTTGATGCGCCGTTCCCAAATTGACAACATTTTTGTCTAAAAATTTGTCGTGTCTAGAGGTTTGTATATAAATTTCTTTATTTAAAGTCGTTATATGATGTGTAAACCTTTTTTGTACACTGTTGGAATGATAATCTTCTTTTTCTTGGACAAGTAAATACGTATAAATAACAACTGCAATTCAGCTGAATAAATTAACATATTCGCCACTTGTTTCATTTGCAATGTTCAAATTATACTTTGTTCTCTTGAATGAGACTGGACGAACACAAAATATAAAAACCTAAAATAACATGAACAGCTTGAACTTTGTATTAACAATGCTCAAGGTAAATTCAAGCCTCAACCATCACTTTGACACGTGAACGTCTTCCAAGTGCTTCAAGAAACCGACCAGGCATCGATAAAAACTTGCACGAGAGTCCTTGATGTCCAAGCCTCCTTGAGTGTAAAATGTTTAGTGATGTTGACGGTATTTTCAGGGCCCATATCCTCCAGATTGTGTAACTTAAGGTTGAAAGAGTCGAAAAATGGCGTGAAGACGAAAATAGAGTGAAACAAATCTCTGGAATAAATAATGATATTATATTATTATTATATTGTTATATTAATATTATAATAATTGTAATTAACACCCACTTCCAGGTCAAGCGTCATTTTATGTCCATGCTCTCGAATAAGAGCACCAAAAAGTTCTCTAAACATCGATTTTTAAGAGCAATTCTGTGAGCTATGCCGACTAGAATCTAAATGTGTATATGTTGTTGAACAATTTGAGCTAGGGAGTAATAATCCCACATAATCTTCGGCTCATTCACCAGCCTTTCATGATATTGATCATTAAAACATTATGAGATATTATTTCGTCACATTCTGCCTGTGAATATTAACGAAATTCTAAAATTATAATAACCGTTATACCACTTTATGTTTTAGACATCCGTTTTTCACAATATCTAATGCAGTATTGGTCTTGACACCAACTCATAATAAAAATATATAAAACATATAAAACTTAACTCAATCTCATTTTGGATGAAGCCCAAAATCCTTCCATAAATCCAACAGAATATTCAGCCAGACCTAATCCCAACTTTCGGACGACCTCTTTTGCAGAGAATATAAGTAAAAAAATTTAGCCCCGCTTTGCCTTGACTTTCTGCGATGCCATATAAATAAACCTTAGAATAGAAAGCTTGACCCCACCTTAATACATAAACATTCAGATGCTAATGCATTTCTTGATCTTGGAATCGATTGGCGGGCAAGTCTCAAGGTGGCGTATTTGCGATGCAGATATGAAGACTGGCGCTCAGTCAGACGAAATTTAGCCCAAACTTCACGGCAATTTCGCCAGAGGCTTCAAGACTTTTAGAAATTCTCCTTTTGATCTACTTTTAGTAGAACAAGAACTGAAGAGAGGCCGGACAAAGAATTAATGTCAAAAAAATTTTTTTTCATCGAGACCGAGAGCTACGATGTGCACCTCAAAGGTAGTATTCAAAGCGCCTGTCATAAAAGAAATAAATAGTAAACGAATTTGATCGGAACTCACTTCCTCAAAGATTTTTTCATTTTTTTTTAGATTTTTAAAAGATTTTAATTTTTTTAATTATGACAGTGATTCTGCGCCTTTGCACTGTTTATTAAGAATTGAGCCGCCGATTGAAGTTATATCAGAAATTGCAAGTCTTTCCTACCGAAGTGTGCTATCGCGTCATTGGAGCCTTGTCACATACTTATAAACTCAGCTTTAATAGACATAATTTTACTACTAAAGCACTCTCACTACTATACTAAACAAACAAATTGAATCCAGTCATAAACTTCGGCAAATGCGATGACAGAATTTGCGCAACGCAAAACCATCCTAAATGAAGCCACTAGATGAGCATTTGCAGTGTTATTCAGAAATAACGCCATGAACACCAAATGATGCAATTACAAATGATGCAATTTGTCTCATTCAAATGATGCAATTTGTCTCATTCAAATGCCCCGGATTTTGGGGCAAAAACTAATATTTATTTAATTACCATCTCACTTCACGAGCTGACAGCACCAAGAAATCCACTTCCGGGGAGTACAAGTGTAATTGAGCAGGGTTAAAGCAGCTGCAAATTCAAAATTATGAGAAAATTCTCGATTAACTCGTCCGCAAAGCTCAGCGTACTCGAATCCGTTCCGAACTCGGTAGGCATAATTTGCTGACAGGCGAAATCTTGCGGATTTCGACAAGCTTTGAAGTTCTGCGACGGTAGCGATCCCACGGATTAAAGGACTTCACAGCAAGACTAGCGTCGATAGCTGAATATATTCTTGCGAGTTGAATAATTTCATTAAGAATGTTAAATTATGTTTGTATATATTTTCTGTAAATCTACATAAAGAGCTAAACAAATTGAAAACAGTGTCTTTGAAACACATTTCACGGTTTGGGAAAAAATGTTTACTATTTAGAACCACAACTTTCTTCACATACGTTGTCATTTCAGAACATTGCACCGTTATTTTCAAACTACAAAAGATTCTTACAGCTTCTATTTGATGCTGACATTGCAGTACTAAAAAGTCAATGTACCACAACTCACAACACCTTTAAAGTCATCACAGCGTTACATAATAACTTGAAGACGTCATAGACCGAACAAGCATCAACCAAACTCATTATAAAACTGATTAAATGAGAAACTGCGTCTAAAAAATCACCAGTATTACGCAGTGTTTTTAAGAGGACAATAACAAAGCAATATGGGATACCGCGAGCCTACCTATATTAATATAGTGCTGCTTCTATGGGAGTGCAAGAGACGTTCATAACGAGACAAACAGTGCAAAACTCCAGCACGAAGATCGCAGAGACGACCGAGTCAGATAAATGGGCGTCTTGATGGACTTTGTGCTCACCGTTCATTCATTTCGGCAGAGATTCTTCCGAGTGAATGTGCACGTAGAAGCTTTAGGTGAAAAATATAGAAGAGGAAAAGATTTTCGCTGATGAATGAAGGCGTTCATTGACGGAGTGAAAAAAAAATAGGTAAAATAAATTTCACGAACGTCCACATCAGTAGTCGGAAAAAGGAAGGCACCAATAAAGGAGATTCGCAAGGGTGAACTACACGCCTCTAGCAGAAAGATGATGACTGCAGAAAAGATTTTCACAGTAAAATGTTGTCGGTCAAAAAATATTTGTCAAAGACTGTATATCAATGTCGCCATATAAATATACTGTATATCAAAAACAAATATCATTGTCTCGGGCGCTTTTGTCTCAGGTTAATCTTATTCGTGCGGTGAAGACTTATTCCGAAGGGTTAATTATTTTGTGGTTGGATGAAAGAAGACATGTATTCGAATTTTGAGACTAATCGGCAACTAACACTGTGAACTTGTAAGGAATTTACAGATATTTTTGTGGATAAGTGGACTTTTGGACATTTAATTATCATAGCTTCAAACGTTTCGTGA